TAAAGCTATTTACCCGAGCAGATAGAGAATGCAAATGAAAAGGGGGAGACACACACACACAAACACACACAGTCACACACACAAAGAAAAAGAGGCAGGCAGAGATGAAAATGGCAACACTGGAGAAGTAAACTTCAAAGGGAATGAATGAGAGAGGGAAGCATACAGAGACTGAGGTGGAACAGAGATACAAAAACGGGGAGGCAGAAGCACAAGCAAAGAAAGAAGAAGAGCAGAAGAGCAGAGGCAATAAGCAAGAGAGAAAAGTGATCACAGAGTGGAACTGACGAGCAGACACAGTGACAAGGAAATGGGACTAGACAAAAGAGAGACAGCCAACTGAAGAAAAGATTTTTTTTTACAGGAAGATTAGCCCTAAGCTAACATCTGCCACCAATCTTCTTTTTGCTGAGGAAAACTGGCCCTTAGCTAACATCTGTGCCCATCTTCCTCTGCTTTATATGTGGGACGACTGCCACAGCATGGTTTGATAAGCAGTGTGTAGGTCAGTGCCTGGGATTGGAACCGGCGAACCCTGGGCTGCCAAAGTGGAGCACGCAAACTTAACTGCTACGCTACCAGGCCAGCCCCGAAAAGATCATCTTTTACCCCATGATTTTTCAAATTACATATTTTTGTTGTTATCCTCCCAGTACTCCCACTAAAAAGAGGATAGATTTTATTTTTACAAAGTGGTTAACAATGCATATGTCATTTATCTTGCAGATTTTTTAAAAATCAGATTTACTATAAGATATCATAATTTTTGCCATCATTAAGGTTCACATATCAGATGTATTAGTAACTCAGTGGGGGGAATTTTTTCACAATGTATGCGTGTATCAAATCATCATGTTGTACATTTTAAATATCTTACAATTTCATCTGTTTATTATACCTCAATAAACCTAGAGGGGAAAAAAGGTTCACATACATCAATATACTAGGGAGAAATCCCTAATTTTGCACGTTCTAATTTTTTTTCTAAGTAAAGAATGATAGTACCCTAGTTAGGACAAATTCATCCTAAGGCAAGGACCTATTTATGATTACACACTACAGTGACTTACACAATACCAGTATCAGACTGAAAACACATTCTTAGTTGAAAGTAACTTACCATTTAGAGCCAAAATCCAGCTATCTGAGTCTTGTTTCTATTTTGTGCCCCCTTTGCTTCACTTGGTATGCCATGCTCTCTCTCTTCTATGTAGATTCTGTCGGTAGCCATCAATCTGAAGAACTCCTTCTTCTGCTGCCACCTACCAGTTTATCTCTCTGCTGCAGCAGAAGGGTATATAGAAAAAGTTCTTGCTTACTATTTCAGATTAAACAGAAAAATTCCTTTAACATTTCATATCTTCACCTGTGCATGAACTTCCTCATGTTTTCCCAAGACCTCCCCGCCAGAAGTCAAAACAACAAAAATCCCCATCACAGGAAATCAAACAATGTATGATCAATGTTCATGCTAAGCTGAGAAAATTAAAAAAAAAAAAAAAAAGTGGAAAGATTTAGACACTCAGCAGTTGCCATCTCAAGGAGCCATTTCTTTTCTGTTACACTTTCCTTCTTCACCTATCCCTACAATCTTACAAATAAATACATAATTTACAATTTTAACCAGGTAGTCTACAACTCCTACAAATTTTAAGTGCAGAGACTACCACAAGAATTGTGAAGGATGCAGCAATAAAGGAGTTTTTAAAAGTAATTCTAGAAACTAAGGGTGTTAGGTGCTTTACCTGCTTGAGTTTTCAATGTTCTGGACTGCTTATTGCCCAATGGCTCTGAATACATTAAAACACGAACACATACGCCACCTACATTTAAAATAGGGTAGCATTTGTATGCCCATATAAGCACTGGGTATATTTTTTGCAAAAAAGTAGTAAGTTTATTATGTCCTTTAAAAAGGACTGACCACAAATGCACATTTCCTCAAATTGTATACATATATAGAAGAATTAGGGTGAAAAAGGGAGACAGAGTGACAAATGTAGTAGCAGTTACAGAACTGGAAATTAACACCACATAAACGTTTTCTGTTTGTTAAAATCCTGAGACTCATTTCTATGCCCATTCTCTTTGTCATTGGGGTCTACGTTTCAAATTTATTCTGTATTAGCTACTAAAGAACAGTATCCAGTAATGAACTAGCAATAATAGTAATGGCTTGTTTTTGTTCCACCCTCCCACTACCTTTACCCCAAAATAAAAATAGGTACAGTTTTGCCAACTTAAAAACAAAACAAACACTGACATAAGCACCAAAGGCTAGTCAACAGTGGCAATGCAGTGACATTGTTTCTACTTTCTCATTCCTTCCCCCAATCTCAAACCCCACCCTTTGACCTCTGTATATGGGATGAGCCTGAGCAGAAGAGTTGGTGATGTCAGGACTGCGCCGTTCCCACGGATGCTCCTAGAGGCCTGCTGTGCTTCTGGGAACTGGGGCACAGGGATGTCTGTCTGACTGAAACCTAAAACAACAACAATTCACCCCACCCCTCATGTTCCCAAACCCCACAATAGCAGCCAGGTATATATGCTATATAAGGCTCATCTAATAAGTGAATATGGTGATATCTGAAAGCAAGATCATTCTTAACAAGTCAATGATCCTCATAGGAGCAGAAGAATGGAGACTGTTAAATTCTCCATGGCCCATGCAATCACACAGTCCACACATCCTAATGCTAGCCATTCTAAGCAGCAAGAGAACAAGGTCCTGCTGTACAAGCCTTTTTTAGTATACATCATAAATTCCTGCAGGAGTGCAGGTGGGATTCCTTTGTTAGTAAACTTCAGTTCAACAGATAAATATTTTTGTCTTAAGATGCTTAGGGGAGTGACTGTTGCTATTTTACATGAGTGAACTGAAGCACAAAATAGGTTAATGATTTATTTTATGCCTTCAGCTGTAGAAATAGCATTATAAGCCAGGATTTCCTCTTTACTAACTAGTGGTTTATTGGACTTATAGCCTCTTTGGATAGGACATCCAAAGCCACAGGATAAAATTATGCAGAATTATATCTTGAAAAGGTCCTGGTTACTGTCACTACAATTCTACCTATTAGAAAGAAGATTATCTCCCAAAATGGTAACTCATATTAGAGCTAAAACTTTAGGAAGGACAGGAAAAGGAGGAAAGGGTAGGTGGACTTGGGTAGACAGAGGAGTAGATAGCATATTAACTAATAAAAAGGCCATTAAACTAGACAATTTATATTCCAATTCCTGCCACTAACTTTGTTTTATGGCCTTAGTTCATCTGCTTAATGATCTTGTGCTTCAGAAATGCCCTCCAATCTGTTCAAATCTGTAATTTTTGAATGTTTACACGATTATTTTATGATACTCTCAAACTGCTCACATCTCTGTTAGAACTAGTGTCCCAAAAATGCTAAAATGATTAGTTCTGAAATCACACTGCTCTTAAAATAACTGGAATAGTTTCTATTATCTTTGTCTCATTATTCCCTTTCACTTCCATAATGATGTCACAAAAAGAGAAGCACTAACATCAACTGAATGCTATGGTGAGTTTTTACAACATATAACCTAGAACCTAATTTTACCTTTTCAAAACTCTAGTTTTCCATACCTGTCAACTCCTAATTGATGTCTTTATACTGTGAGCTGTGTATTCGGAACACCAACCCCTGAAAAAGCTTAAGCCAGAGTAGCACAATGGAAGAAACAAACAAACCCAAAACAAAAACAAAGCCAAAAAAGTCACACTCTGAATACTTAATTATAGACATATATGCAAGGAATGGAGTTATCTAAATGGCTAAAGCAAATCCCCAAAGAAAGTCCTGAGTTCATCCCAAACAATAAAAACTTGACCCCCAAAGTTCTTCAATCAAATTATGTGCTAGATACATTTATGCATTATTTTTTAAAATGAGAGTTATTACAAACCCATGGTTGCCTTTAAAGTACATAAAGAAAAGAAATTTTAAAAAAAGAAAGTAAAGTTAGCCTTGGGATGGAAAGAAAGGAGGAAGAGTCAAATTACCTGCAAGCAGGCTGGGGCTGCGCCTGAATCCAAACCGCTGCATTTACCATTCATTATACAGCTGCATTATTGGGGGAAGGGGAGTTTAGAAGGGCACTGACCCCGAAAGTTCTCAATACTTCTCACTCATCATCAGGAAGGGGGAGAAGGAAAGTTTTTTCTCTGGGTATTTTTTTGTTTGTTTGTTTTTGTTTTTTTGGCTCCTGAAAAGGCTGGTAAAGAACAGTAACAGTGCAAGCAGTTAGAATATTTCTTTAAAAACAATTTTAAAAATGCAAAAACATTAAGGAATTTAAAACATCAAACTTTCGTTAATATAGAAAGAATTTTCACTAGAGTTAGGCAGCCACCCCAAAACAGCATGGCAAAAGGGCATTGGCATAAAGGAAATAAAATACCACACAAAAATCCAAAACAAAACTAAAAACATTTCAAATTAAACCTGGAAGACTAGAAGATTCCAACAGCAGATTTCTGTCCACTACTGAAACATTCCAAAATCCAAGCTTCAAAGGCGCCTAAATGTATCTCAAATGAAACTTTGTTTTGTTTTGTTTAAGAAAAAAAAGAAAGAAAGCAGTGAACCTGGTTATAAATCCTGAAATATATTACATTTAAAAATATCCTACTATAATAAAAACAAATTTTAAATGAAATTAAACAAACAAACAAACAAATAAAAACAGTAGCAGCAGAGGTTACCTGTCTGAGCACCTACATTTTCTTAGGAGGGGATCGTGTCTCACCAGCCATATAGCCCATAAACCTTCTCAAAAGAGTGAGCCAGAAGAAAATTGTAACACAAGATTTGATTTCACAATGTCTCTAAGCTCCCCAGACCCCAAACTGGGGATTCACTGAATGAAGAGAATTTATTTTTTCATCGTTTTCTTCTTGAGAAAAAGAAGAGATGATTTTGAAAGTCAATTACTTCTTTCAACGCCTTCGATACCTTCTCAAAAGTCTGATAAAGTGCTTGAGGAAAGCAAGTCTCTTGAAGGATTTTCTAATGTTCCAGGGTATTTTCTTATTGATAGTATATACAGAAAGATTTCAAAGTTCAGTGGAATAAAAGCCAGCAGAAATCACCAATCAATTTTAGGCACCAAAAAAGAAAAAAACTATTAAAAATTTTAAATTAGTTCATATTTATATGTGTGTGTGTGTGTATAGTCCAGTTTTCATCATGATGACATAAAAAACAATATCAGAAAGAATTACTTTCAAAATACAATTCAGAATTACAATTTTAACAATACACAATAATTTTACAATAATTCAGATTTTGGCGAGATAATGATTATACATATTTGATAAATACAATTTTACCTCTTATAATAGCAATTAAGATTATACAAAAGTTATTAAATAATACGAAAATATATTTAACTTTCACTTAAACATCTGGGCTGTTTTATTTGGGTTCTTCCAGAATGATTTGTTCACATTCTTTACCTTAATTTTTGAGGGAATTCAAGAAGATATTCATGTTTTTAAAGTCTAAGATGACCATTCCTGCCCTTCTCATTCTAACATGTGAGTGCACGATCCAGAAATATGTTTGTAAAACTATATTTTAATATAGTGTGAATGCAAAAAGATGGATAAATAATAAAACTAAAGGTGAAGTAATCTCAGATATTTTTTATGATATACTTGATTAATTGGGTAAGATTTTTTTAAAGGCTACCTATATTTTTCCTGGTAACCCAACACGAAACTTGAGTTTTTCATCAAATAGAGAGGGTGTTTTATTTGTGTTTTAAAATTCATTAATCTATGTACATGTGATATGTAACTATTCAAAGTATATGTACCATAATTTATGTCAACCAGATGGTCTCTACACAAACACATGAATGATGATTTAATTAAGCAGTTATTTCTCCCTTATTTATTTCTCTATCCCAAATGGTATGCATCCTTCAAAGTCTGGTCATTCAGTGAAAGAAGTACCAAGTATTTCTTTCTGTTAATAAGTCAGAGGTACTTATATATGTATGTAAGTCCCACAATAACCCTGTGCAAGTCAAATTCTTTTAGATGAGATTAGAATATCCTAAAAATAAATTAGAAACTCCTCTTATGTATCTTTTTCTGAGGTGAAAAGAGACACTGCACAGATTAGAGGTACTATTCTATTTGTCAACAGTCAACCTTCCACTCAATTTTAATATTATTTAATTCTATGGAAAAAACAAATTTTATTACATTCCTTTTTAAAACGGGGGAAAAACTGTACAAGTAAGCATGATCAAACCTCTGTTAGAGCTGGTTAATACTGATCTTTTATTATTGCCTCGAAGTCTCTCTAGTAGTGTCCGAGAAATTATGTTTAAGGTCCATCTGAGGGGAAAAAAGCACTGGAGAGGCAAGAAACAACTTGGGTAAAAGCTTCAGAGGATTGTAGGGAGATGGAACTTGCTGTTTAAAAAAATTACGTTGAGCTCTGGAGCATCTCCATTTCTTAACACACCTTCCAAACCCATCATTGGGATGGCTTTACCCATGTTTTAAAGGCTCCTATTATATGCAGTTTCAGGGCTTTTATAAATCAGAAAGTAAAGGAATATAAAGAGTGAAGAGTATTGAAGGCTTCAGAGTAGGGCTATAAGAGACTCAACACTGCTAAAATAAGTCCCCAAACCAAAAACGTCCAGTCCATCCCACCCCAAAACCTGTGTAATAGGAGAAAACGCACAGCCAGAAGCATTGAAGAAAAGCATGTAGCCTTGAATAAATTATACACTGAACAGTCCAGAACCAAAGGAAAAAATCAAACATATAGATACACAGAAAGGCCTAAGAAGCATCTATTCTCCTTATGTCTTTAGGTGAGTACCTCCACCCCAGTGGAGCATAGCTACGAAAACAACTCATCTGTTTCTTAAATTAAAAAACTGTTTCCCATCATGCTCCATTTTCTAGAATCTATCCTTTTTGATTGGTTGGTGAAAACAAAAAGCAAAACACATACACATGCATGCGTGCACACACACACATATACCCCCTCCTAAAATGTGAAAAATGCAAATATATAACACTGGTATTAGAAATCACTTCCGCTTTATACTTAGGAACTTATAGGCCCTTGATTTGCCCCCTAAAAATATTTTTCCTTGTCCTTATTGTTTAAATGCCCAACCACCAAAAGAAAAAAGGGAAAAAAAAAGGCTTTAAATGCACATATTTCAAGTCAGTGTCTTGTTAACAAAAAAGGTAGCATTTTCTTCACTTTGGCCATTGTTAAAGATGCAGGCATAGATCAGGGAATGTTAGACTAGCACGTATTAAAAAAAAATGCAACATTAACAGAGCATATATCTTTCAAAAAAGACTAAAACACTAACAAATACAAGTCAATGCACATATTTTAAACTAGTGTAATTTTATCTACATTGGAGTAAATGTTATTTTGTGTACCAGACGTTGCAATACTGTTCATTTCCCTTTTATCATGCAAACATGCCAATTTTGTCATTAAAAAACCTTTATTGAGTCACAGTCATGTTTCTCTCCCACCCAAATTAAGGGAAAAAACAAAAATAATAAATCCTTCAAGATCTCATAAACTATGAACATAAAGCTGCTAGTTAATATGGTAAAGGCAGAATTTTCAGATTTGTATTAAAAAACTGCTGTACTTCAGGTAGATGTTTCCCTCACCCACTACAAATCTTTGCAACACAATGTGAAGTTATGCTACTCTGAAATTTGTACCAACTGTACAAAAACAACAGAGACCATGAAAAAATTTTGTATGTTCTTCATGGCCTGAGAGCATACACATTTTTGAGTAATTTAAAAGGGTAACTACAAGAGCCTGACAATTTTCTGTATCTTACCTCTTCTGCCTCTTTATCTATAGGATTTGTAAGTGAAAGCAACATCTTAATAGCAGAGGTCTAGTCTATCTCCCCTTTCTCCTCTCCTAACTAATCCTACTCAATTTTCTCTCATTCTCCTGAGTATCTTCCATGAACAGCATTGCAAGTTGGTTTAAAAAAAGAAACAAAAAAGGAAAAAGAAAGAAGAAAAAGAAAGTTTTACAAGGGTTTTGTTGGTTAATTATTTACTGGTGGAGTCATTCCACCAGGAGTTTGATTTCATTGGCTAGCAGCTGGTTCATGTTGAATAGGCCCCCTGGGAGCTTGGTGAGCAGCTCTCGCTCCGTGCTTTCAGGGTCGCTGTCGACAGAGCTGGAACTTGCGCTCATGTTGTCGACAGCAGTGCTGGCTGGGGGACCCAGCTCCGGCTCACTAGTCTCACTGGCTGTGGACACCACGGAGAGCAGGGACATACGCCGGGTGAGCCGGCCAGAGGGCAGAAGGGAGGCGGCATAGTCCGCTATGATACCAGCTACATCTAGATTACAAGCCTTATCAAAGGCGATGAAACCTACATTTGCATTGGCCTCGCAGACACAGAAGGAGCCGTCATCTTTCATCAACAGGTCAATGCCACACACATCCATCCCCAGGATATTAGACACCTGGATAGCTAGCTGCTTCCCTTGTTCACTCAATGAGCACATCATCCCCACACCACCTGGTAAGAGAAACAAAATAAAAAGTCACCAAAATGACAGATTTTTGGAGTGAAACTAAAGCTGGCCTCTAAAGTTAATCCTTTCTTTTCAAGCAGTAGTAAAAATTAATTCTAGTGTAAAACTGGGACTTTGAAGTCTAAGTTTCCTTCATCAGGGAATTTCACCTCAACCCAGTCTCTCAAAGAATCAATGACTTAGTACTTTTTCAGTATGCTATTCTTCTGAAGATGACATTAAACTTCCACTGAAGCCTATCTTACTTTCAATAATGTGACCAAGTAGAAGAGACTTTTGCATAAATACAATAAAACCACTTTATTTTATATATGAAAAAAGGGTTCAGTTTTTGATTTGTAAAAATAATAGAGATGCATAACAGGGACAGAGAATAGGACAGAATCTGGGAAGATGGTAACCTAAACACAGCTCTCTTCCTCTACAGTCCCCACTCCAATCTATCTGCCATTCCTAAGCCAAAAGGATTGTAGGGTTTATGGTAGCTGGTTGAATACAGGTGAAATCTTGAGTTTTGCTGGTATCTGAGAGAAAGGAATTAGAACTAGATTTTCTCATTTGCAGACCTGTCCAGGAAGCTCTGAGATAAGGACTAGAAAGCAAAGAATTCTGAGAAGAGCTTGGCTCACAGAGTTCTGTGTATCGACAGGAGGAAAGCTGACATCAGTTTCATGTTAGTATGCCTGACGTCTTTGACCCCAAAGGGGTCAAAAAGTAACTGCACAGGTGAGCTTAGTCCTCCCTACCACTGAGGCTGGAAGAGTAGAGGAGTCCAGGAAACAGGAATGCTTCTTTGAAGTACCTCAGTAGGTGACTGGCACACTAATCAATTAATTAAACAACTCTGCTTCTTGGCATCTGTACGACTGAGGGCATCTGAATGCTCCAAATAACCAGAGCAGAGCCCTGATGTAACAGCAAAATAACAAGTATCCACAACTTGAATGAAAGAAATAAGAGCAGTTTAAGGAGACTCAAGTTCAGCACAAAAGGACTTTCTGAACCTAAAATGGAAGCATAATTACCCAACTAAAAACTTCATTAGAGGAACTGAGAGTACAGTCACCTGTGGGAGTTTAACGTACAACTTGGAAAATAAAGTATAAGAAATATTTCGAAGCACATACAAAAAACTGAAGATGAAATCACAAAAGAAAGAGAAGAAATTTGGAGAACTGCATCAGAAAAAAACTTCTCCAGAAGGAGAGAAACACATAGAGGATAAGCAATAATTAAGGAAGAAATTTTCCTGAAACTGTAGAAAAACAGCCTGCTGATAGAAACAGTTTGCTAAAATCCAGGTTGGGCTGATTGAGAAAAGATGCATCTCTGAAAATATCCTGACAAAACTTTTGAGCTCTGCCAAAAAAAAAGAAAGGAAGAAAGAAAAAAATTTAAAAAGAATAAATTACCCACCCTAAAATCAGAGTAGATTTGGACATTCAAATGCAACAACGTAACCTATAAGGCAGCAGAATCGAAGCTAGACTCTTAGAATCTAAGATTCTATCTCAGCCAATATATTCTCCTTTTAGAAAGAAAGAAGGATATATGAAGGTATCTATCACTCATATACCCCCCTTGAGGAAAATAATCATGAACAGATACTAACATAAACTAAGAATAGAGACTCTGAGATATGGGAAGATAAAGATGGGAAGTAAAAAATGGTGAGTAATGATTCTTGCAATATAGGTCTAATTAACTCTAAATGGATAAAGAATGACTGCCTGGGAATGGATAATGTAAGTGCTATATAAGAATTCTCGAGGGGGCTGGCCTCATGGCCGAGTGGTTAAGTTCGCGGGCTCCGCTCCAGGCGGCCCAGTGTTTCGTTGGTTCGAATCCTGGGCGCGGACATGGCACTGCTCATCAAACCAGGCTGAGGCAGCGTCCCACGTGGCACAACTAGAAGGACCCACAACGAAGAATATACACCTATGTACCGGGGGGCTTTGGGGAGAAAAAGGAAAAAAATAAAATCTTAAAAAAAAAAAAGAATTCTCGAAACAGAAGACATACAATAAGAGAAATTCTAATACAGACTTGGACTAAAACTATTAAAAGATTTCAGCAAAACACTGGAATGTAAAAGCCCATGAAAACATGAATTTTTGTCTCTTTTGTTCACTGATATATACAAAATATTGCTAACAGTACTTGATAATTAAGTGGTATTCAAAAATATTTGTTCAATGAATGAATGAATCAAGAGGGAGGAGTAGGAAGGAAAGTAAAACTGTTCTAATCTTCTCATTGGAGGAGAGAGGGATCAAGGGATGATAGAGGAAAAGTGAAGGTATTCCAAAGACTTCATATTACTATGATGGCAGAGGGGAGCAGGAAAGAAAGAGCATCAGGAAAAACTGTTCTCTCCTCAAGTAATAGTAGAAAATATGTGTGTGATTATAAGAGTAGGGAAAGAGACGGTAACCACTAATGGAATGCACAACCACGGCTGAGCCTCCAGATTAATGAGCTTAGGAACGGCGGCGGGAGTGGAATGGAATTAATGGTACCTTACAAACCAGCAAAAATTAGAGAAGAAAAAAGAAGAAAGAACAACTTAAATTAAGTAAAAAACACAAAATAAGATTGAAGAAATACAATGAAGTGCATTAGCAATTACACTAAAAACAAACTGAAAAATTCCCATTAAAAGATAGAAACTTGTCAGACTGGAATGAAAACAAAACTTAGCTATATGTTGTTTATAACAAACATACTTTAAACAAAATGAAAAGGAAATTTTGAAAACTAAAGGGAGTGGGCAAAGAGATAAGTGACAAAGGAATAACAAACCACTTCTTAGCCTTATATCTTTGACTAGAGTATACACCATATATGCATTTTTCCTTTATCAGACATTAACAATAAACAATCATGTTTTTGACCACAAAGAAAACCTTAACAAATTTTAGAAGACTTTTACAGGCCACGGTCTCTGACAATAACCCAAGAAAATCAGAAACCAGAACTTAGTAATTCAAGTAACCAAAAGAATAAAAACTACTAGAACCTGCAAAATTGATTCCTTGAATTAAAGGAAAATGAGAACCATCTAGATAGAGAAAAACACTTTGTACCAAAATGTTAATTTTGAAATCAGAAAGAAGAAATTAAGTACTCTTAGAAAAAGAAACTAAGAAGAGAATTTAATAAAGACAAAAAGTAGAATGAATAGAACAGAAAAATAAAAAGGACACAAATATCCACATGCTACTTTGACAAGATTAAGCGTGATATCAAAGCGAGAATCACAAAGGAGAGATTAAAAGAAACATAAGCAATTATCTCATGAAACTGGCAAAAAAATCTGAAACCCAAAACAAATGGATGATTTCTAAGCAAATGATAAATTACCAACACTGAATCAAGAAGCAGCATGCTTAAACAAGCAAATTATTACCGAAGAGACTGGAATGGTGATAAAAGAGCTATTACTACAAAAGGAACCAGGACCAGATGGGTTCAGAGGTGAGTTTTATTTAGCTACTCTTTATTCCAATGTCACTTTACCTACAGAATGTCCCAGGAAAAGACTGAAAATTCCCCAATACATTGAATAAAGCCAGCATAACCTTAATATTAAATGTTATCAAGAAGTGTAAAAAAATAACAGTATGGGCCAATCTTACTTATGAAAATATATGTAAATATTCTAAATAAAGAACTGAATTCAAATTTTCAAAAGAACACTACACTATTACAAGTCAAAAGAGGTTTATTCTAGAAATGGAAGGGTAGTTCAAAAAAACCTTTTAAATCTAAAATTTATCAACATAACCCATTACACACCAAGAAATTAAAGGTGAAAAACACACAAATGATCTTATCCACAGAAGGATGCCAAAAAGGCAACGGATAGAATTTGACAATCATTCCTACTAAAAACTCTAGTAGAATGAAGCTACATAAACATCCTAAATAGCAAAACACTAAATCTATCTCAAGGAAAATCAGAAACTAGACAGATACTTATGATCATTATTGCTCAACACTGTGCTAGAGATTCTAAAACAGTGGTTCTCAACTGGAGAGAATTTGGAAACTGTATGGTGGCAACTTTGAATGTATAATTGAGATTGGAGGGGGAGGGCTCTAATGGCATTTAGTGGTTATTGGTCAAAACACTAACAAGAAAGACTACTCAACTGAAAAGTGGGCAAATATAATGAAAAGTAATCCACATAAAAGTAAAGATAAATGACCAATAAGCTATGAAAAGATACTCTAATCATTAATAGTTAGGTTTGAAATACAAACTAAAATAATAGTGAGATATCATTTAACTCCCATTTGATTAGCAAAAACTATATATCCAAAGAACAACACTGCTTGCAGGGAGGGAGAAAAAAGGGTACTTTAATATGCTGCAAGTTGAAATGCAGAGTTAAAGCCTTTTGGGAAAGCACTCTAGCCACATCTATAAAAATTAAAAGTACATATATTGATCCAGCAATACCAACCTTCAGACTGGTCATGATAAAAGCAGCAGTATGTAAAAGCATATTCACAAGGATATGTATTTATAGCAATACAGCTCACAGTGGCAAAAAACTGAAAATAGATTGTAAATCAATATAGGAATAGACGTATATGGTACATGATAGGAGAGTGGAGGGGTTAGGAAAAAAGCAGGGGATCACATTTTAGGATCAAAATTTAAATAACACAGCTAAACAGTAACACAATAAAGATCATATTTAAATAACATTATAAAATTATTTGTGTGTATAAAACTATTTAAATGTTTTAAGGTCAACCAAAAAATATTCATTATAGAAAAGCCAAAAGTCTTTGCAAAAATAGGTTGAAAGTTGATTTCCAGGGACAACCATAGTTATCTAACATTTAGTTGAATGTCCATCAGGTGTGTCTATGAAATTTCACATAACTGAGATCATATTATTGTTAATAAACAGTAAGAAGAGTATGAGAGGCACAGAGCTTAACAGTTATAAAAGATGGTTAAATTTATAAAATTTATTTGAAAATCTAGATGATGTCTGCAAAGCTTCCATGTAATCTTTCCAATTGTGAAGCCAAGTTATTCAAGAGGCAGTAAAATAGAGTGGTTAAGAGGACAACTCTGGAGCCAAAAAGTATATCTGCATCCTAGCTACACTTATAAGATCTGTTACCTTGAGCAAGTTACTTAACTGTTCTGGGTCTTCCCTGTCTGTAAAATGGAAGTAATAACAATACCTGTGGAGTTGCTATGAGAATTAAAGCAACTAATAGTCATAAAGCACTAAAGCACTAAAGAGATGGTAGCTGCTGTTACTGTTAATACTGAAGATGGGAGAATATTCATCATAAAAAAGGTCTCTCTGGGGATAGAGTAATGAGGGCATTCAATTTTGAAGAATAAGGTAGAGGAGTTCTTGCTCTATCAGACATCTAGGTATAAGGCCAGATACATCCAGGAATAATGCCTGTATGATTGATATTCACACAGAAAAAAGAATAATACAACAGACCAGAGGGCCTTAAGAGACCAATGAATATGCAGAAATACAATACATAAAAAAGATGGCATTACAAATTAGTAACAAATAGACTATTCAATAAACAGTGCTGGAAAAACCCGTTACTATTCATTTGGAAAAAAGAAAACAGGATCTCTATCTCACACTGAACAACAAAATCAATTTCAGGGAGACTAAAGACCTAAACATAATAAGCAAAACTTCAAAATTTTTAGAAGACTATATACAAGAACAAAATATGACTTTGGGGTGGAGAAGAATTTCTTCAACAAAAAACTAAGCAGAGGGGGCCGGCTCCGTGGCCTAGGGGTTAAGTTCGTGCGCTCTGCTGCAGCGGCCCGGGGTTCGGATCCTGTGCGCGGACATGGCACTGCTCGTCAGGCCATGTTGAGGCGGCGTCCCACATCCCACAACTAGAAGGACATCCAACTAAGATATACAACTGTGTACGGGGTGGGTTGGGGAGATAAAAGCAGGAAAAAAAAAAAAAACACTAAGCAGAGATGCAAAGAAAAGGATGAATATGCTTGACATTAAAATTAAAAATTTCTGGGGCCAGCCCAGTGGCATAGTGGTTAAGTTCCCATGCACCACTTTGGTGACCTGGGCTTCACCCATTTGGATCCTGGGCACAGACCTACGCACTGCTTATCAAACATGCTGTGGCAGGCATCCCACATATAAAGCAGAGGAAGATGGGCACATGTTAGCTCAGGGCCAATCTTCCTCAATCAATCAACAAAAATTTCTGTCCAGCAAAATATATAACAAAAAAGAGAAGAGACATCACAGACCAGGATGAAAATCTTGTATCTACAATTCATGTAAGTGATGAAGGATTTGAAATCAGATTACATAAAGGACTCTTACAAATCAATATAGAAAAGCAAAAGCAAAAAAAAAAAAAAAAACAATAAAAATGGAGGCAAAAGACCTGAACAGGCAATTCACAGCTGAAGATACCCGAATAGCACTAAGGGTTAGAGGTGTAAATTAAAATAACAACATGATATAATTTCCACCAGTGTGACAAAATCTTTAACGTCTATCAATATCACAAGTTGACAGGAAGGCGGCACTACAAGAAACAGTATTTAATGAAGAATCCTAAAGCGGTATAGTCACTTTGGAGAATCATTTGGCAATATCCAGGAAAGGTGAAGTTACCTAATTCACCATGATACAGAAATCCCACCTCTGGGCAAAAGGGTTAAGCTAGAAACACTCGTGGGCATGTATCTAAGGACACAAAAAAATGTTCACAGCAACACTGTCTGTAAAAGCCCCAAACTAGAAATAGTCAACATGTAAAATCATACAGCAGTGAAAATTAACTACTGCTATAATGTTGACAGAGATGAATCTCACAAATGATGCTAAGTGGGGGGGAAAAAAGAGTATATATAGTTATAAATCATTTATATAAAGTTTTATAACACAAAATAGTATCTTGTTTAGGAAGATGGAAGTACTGAAAGTACTTAGAGGAAAGATAAACATCAAGTTCAGAACTTGGGGAGGAAAGGGAGAAATGATCAGGGAGTGCAAAGGAATCCTTTATATTATTCTTTATACCTTTTTGTAAGCCTCAGTTATCTCAAAATAAAAAAAGGACCACTTCTTAATGTAAAACTAACTTTTTAAAAATTTCCTTTTACATAAAGTATAAGAAGTGTTAATTAAATCTCATGGTAGCACGGTAAAAGGGAACGGTGTCCCAGAAATGAAAAGATGCCATTTAGCTCTTAGCAGCATTAAGCATGATATGTTGTGATGAAAAATGTAAGATGGGACATGAAGAACTAATTCAAGGGGGTGTACGTCAGTTTTTCAAGAGCAGAAACGAGGCTTTATATCACTCATATCTTTCAATCCTGTGTGCTCCTATTCTATCCCATATTCTCAGAAACAAACCACTATATTGAACTTCACACTTATCAATACACTGCTTTTTCTTTTCTTTATAGCTGTTTTACTACATACGTTTGCATTCCCAGCAATGTTGTTTAGTTTTGCATATAAGTTTTATATAAATGAAATCATACTACATGTACTCTCTTTTGTGACTTTCATTTTTTCTCAACATTATGTCTCTGAGATTCATCCACGTGGTTGTAGATCTCAGAGAGGTGACTAAGGGTCAAATCATGCAGGGCCTGTTAGACTACTGTAGACTACCACACTCTGAATAAAATGGGAAGCCACTGGAGGATTCTGAAGGAAGTCTGACTTGATTTGACTTGTATTTTAAAAGGATCTATCATATTGCTGCTGTGTGAGGAACAGACTGAAGAAGAGTAAGGATGGAAGCAAGATAACCAAATAGAGGCGACTACAAGTAATCCAAATAAGAGAAGATGGTATTAGTGGTGGAGATGACGAGAAATAGTCATATTTGGATACATTTTGACACTAGAGATTTCGAGGAGTTCCTGACAGTTTAGATCTGGGGTGTGAGACTAGAGAGGGATCGAGGATGACACTGAGGATTTTGATCTAAACTGGAAAGACGGAGTTGCATTAAATGATAAGGAGAAAACTGTGGGTGGAACACACGGGGAGGGAGAGTTAGATCAGAAGTTCAGTTTTGGACATGTTAAGATGAAAATGTCTATTGGACATCTACACAGAAATATTGAGTAGGCGGTTATTTGTATGTACCTAGAGTTCAGGGAGAAAACCCAAATTGTAGATATAAATTGGAAAATAATAACATATAGATAGATGGTATTTAAAGCCATGAGCTAGATTAGATTACTAAGAAATTAGAAACAAACAGCGAAGAAGAAAAAACCCAGACTAAGCCCTGAGGCATTTCAACAATAAGAGATCTCAGAAAATACACACTTAAGTAAATCAAAATCAGCAATCTTGTTTGGACCAATGGGTAAAATAGGTTAGAACACAGCTTAAATGAATTCCAATTATACACAAAGTAAGTACATCACCAAAGAGGGAATCTTTAACTCTGATCAGACATTTCATACATCTGTGAATTCAGTTACAAATTGAGTCTTAGTTACCAACTCCAGTAAATTTATGATCCAATTTCACTACTAGAAAAGCTCAAAAGTATATTTATTATATTTATGGTAAGTCTATTAATCATATTTATATGTGAAAGAAAACATGTAACATGAAAAACTGTTTTTCAACTCACTAGGTAAAAAGATCTATGGTTATATTCCATATACACACTGGACAAGCTGTAATATTACTTTATACATTAGCAAGACACCTGCATTGTTTTTACCTAGCGAGCAGTTGCTTTGCATCCTCCCATCTGTTGAACAACGTAACATGGTGCCAACTACACGGCCTCCAACAACAATGACACGTACATCGCGTCCATGAGACTCTTTAACATACTTCTGGAACAGGTATGGAGCTTCATGGCGAATAAGATGGCTTAGATCGGCCAAATGGTGCTTATCTCGAGCCAAGAAAACAGCTTTGCCTGTGTTTGAAAAAGAATAAAAATATCCGTAAGTCATCAAACTGTGGGCAGTTGATATCTATCTCCTGCATCTTCTTGTGTCCCAATCTGCTGTTTCAGAATCAATTACTTTTAAACCAAAGTAATACAGTCATGGTAATTAGTGGGACAATACAAAAATGTATATAAAAACACAGTTAATAATATCCTTCTACCACTCCCTCAATCCCCAAACTCTTGCAACAGTAATCTAGAATTAATTTTGGTAAATGTTGTGAGGAATGGATCTATGATGTATCCCTAAAGGTTGGCCAATACCAGCCTCACGTATTAGCAAAACATTTCCCTCTGAGTTAAAACGTATCTTCCACATTAATATACTCTATTTGCATATGGTAAAACAGCAGTATGTCACTATATACCTAGTTTTATTTCTGAATTCTCCAGTCTGTTCCATTGCTCTATCAATTTTTGTGCCAATGGAAGAGGCTGTTTTTAAGATTTTATTGTTTCCTTTTTCTCCCCAAAGCCCCCCAGTACATAGTTGTCTATTTTTTAGTAGTGGGTCCTTCTAGTTGCGGCATGTGGGATGCCACCTCAGCATGGATTGATGAGTGGTGCCATGTCTGCGCCCAGGATCCGAACCAGCGAAACCCTGGGCCAACAAAGGGGAGTGCGCAAACTTAACCACTCGGCCACAGGGCCGGCCCCAAAGTGGATGTTTTAAAAACACGGTTATAGGGGCCGGCCCGGTGGCGCAGCGGTTAAGTTCGCACGTTCCGCTTCTCGGCGGCCCAGGGTTCACTGGTTCGGATCCCGGGTGCGGACATGGCACTGCTTGGCAGCCATGCTGTGGTAGGCGTCCCACGTATAAACTAGAGGAAGATGGGCAAGGATGTTAGCTCAGAGCCAGGCTTCCTCAGCAAAAAGAGGAGGACTGGCAGTAGTTAGCTGAGGGCTAATCTTCCTCCAAAAAAAAACAAAAACAAACAAACAAAAAATAATAAAAAATAAAAACACGGTTATAAATCCTTTTACTTCCTTCCCATCAAGAACAGGCGGAATCTATGCTCCACCCCTATGAATCTAGGAGAGCTTGTGATTGCTTCAGCCAAAAGAATTCAGCAGAAGAATTCTACATGACTTCTGAGGCTAGGTCATAAAAGGTCAGGCAGCTTCTTTGTTCATTGGAGCATTTACTGTAGGATCCCTGAGATTTCTTGGCTGCCTTACTGGAGAAGCCAAAATAAACAATGCAATCAACATTCCCAGCTGAACCCTGATCCAGCTATCTCTGCCAAGGCACTAAACCTTGTGAAGTACTGAGATTTATGAATCATTTTATTCCTTAAGAAATCCTTCTTTAATCTGAAGTCATTAAGATATTTTTATACACAGTCTTCTAAAGCTTTATAGTTTTGCCTTATACATTTAAGTCTTTGAAGTATATAAACTGGGAAGGGGATGCCTGAGGCTAGTGATCCAAGGTTTGAGAATCAGTCTAAATTAAGTGTGCATCTTTTTTTTTTAAATTTTTCCTTTTTCTCCTCAAAGCCCCCCGGTACATAGTTGTGTATTTTCAGTTGTAGGTCGTTCTAATTGTGGCGTGTGGGATGCTGCCTCAGCACGGCCTGATGAGCAGTGCCATGTCCATGCCCAGGATTTGAACTGGCGAAACGCTGGGCTGCCAAAGCGGAGTGCACGAACTCAACCACTCGGCCACGGGGCTGGCCCATAAGTGTGCCTCTTAAAAATCCCTTGGACAATCACTAAATGAACAGAAATAACTTCCAGCCAAACTGAACAACTCACAGTAGCCTTCTCTAAGTTTGAGGTACCATGCACCTAACAATTTCCTTCTAATTATTCTTCAGAAGCCCTGCTTCAAAAGCTATGAATTCCAATTGACAAGAATTATTGTCTAGTCAATAACCATGAGTGAATACAAAGAAAATAATAATTGCTTTGATTCGATTAAGAAAAAAATCTACTTTGTATAATCACCCTTGCTAATTCTCACGAGTAATTTCAAAATATGTCCCGTAGCAACAACTCATACACACCTCTATGACCCCGTGTATTCTTCACTACCATTGGGAACTCCAATACTTCTGCTTCATCAATCATTTTAGCAAAATTTTCATGACCACCTGGTTGGACAAAAAAGAAATTTAAGAAAAAAAGCAATAGAGGTGTTCTGTATAAATTTTATCTACATTGAAGTCAGCAGCACAAAGGAGGAAGAAGGTAAAACCTGATGGCTAAGTTTTGTTTTCCTTGGAGAAAGTAATAAACAAAAAGTTGAAAATACAGTTAAATATCAGTTTAAAACAACCAGACTTTAAAAATGAATGAAAGCTATCTTAAACTATAAATATTCTAATATCCAGCTTAAAGAAATTAAATATCTTTCAGCTAAAACAAAGTTTCCTAATTCTATACAATTTTTCATTCTTACATCCCTTATTCCTCCACCACACAAATAATAGAAGCCCGAAGATCTACTTTAGTATATTCAATTCCCATTTGGATTAAGAAATGGAAGAATGAGTCAGTTGAGGAGACTCATCCAAGGTTGAAAAGATGCTGAATGCATACACACACATACTCTCAACAAACACACACATTTACTTTTATCTCCATTATTAGAGTTCTTTCTACACTAAGATACTCAGTGCCCATGGGTTAATAAGTCTTGCTTCTGACTGTTTTTATTGCCCAGAAACAAATGGTACAGTATCAAGATTAGAGCAAAACTGGACTGTAGTTGTAAAAAATCAGCATGATGATACAGAAAAATTAAACCAGAAAAAAGTTTGTTAAGCAACTGTAATATCATAAATCTGTAGCTTAGAGAAATTAAGATGATTCAGTCCTCTAATTTTAAACCCTCAACATCAGACCATAGGTAATATTTGTTAATTTGGTTAACCTTTTTCTCCTTTCCATTCTCTTAAAATCATGAATTGTAGACCAATGATATAAGTCATAACATCCCAAAAGCATCAGGAAGACAGAATTCTCAAACTATTCATACAGTTTTTTCTAAGCAATTGCTAGAAACAGCAATTATATACACACATGCCACACCGATGAGGAGTTCCCTTCTTTAACATATTAAAAATAAGAAGACGATAGAGACTTTTTTAAAAAGCCTCCTTAATTCTCCAAGCATGCTACTGTACATTTATTTGGAGAAATATCTTTACGAAAAACTGTACTGATTTATACTAAATCCAATCCTTTCCAAACTAGAACTACCGGAAAGGCAGGAAATATATTAACTTAATATTGTTCATAGCAGTGCTATTCAAAGTGCGGTGCAGTAACCTGTACCTGTTTGTGACTTCTTTGCTCTTGATATGTGACCAGATAAATATAAAAAGAGTAAGCACTAGAGACTTTTATAGCAATCTGACATTCCTATGATATTTTAATTATACTTTATGAGAGTATCTACAGCAGACTGGGCTTTTAAAAAAAAAATGATCCTTTACCACAGACAGTTTTAGAACCACTGGTTTAAAGCATACCTAGGTAGAGTTCATTTCCTTAAAAAAATAAGAAAATATTTATGAAAACTTAACATGAAAATGGTAACGAAGATAATCAGAAATAAAACAAAGATGTTATCAAATTCTATTATCTTTTACCTCAGGGGTTGGCAAACTAAGGCCTGTGGGGCAGATTTGGTCTACCGCCTTTTTTTGTAATAAAGTTTTACTGGAACACGGCCACATTTATTTAAGCATTATCTATAGCAGTTTTCATACCACAATAGCATTACTGAGGATCAGAAGAGAGAACTTATGGCCTAGAAAGCCTCAAATATTTACTATTTGGCTCTTTACAGGAGAAGTTTGCTAAGCCCATTCTACTTACACCATGGAACTAAATCTTAAGAGATGATTCATAATTCTCCCGTCCAGTTTATTAAAACTAAAAGTCACTTCTATAACAACTTCTTTCATGTTCGCAAATTTCCTTATATCACATAACTATAAATTTAGTATGGTTTTAAAAATTATCAGTGTTCTAAAACCTGGGTTATAAATTATTAGTGAACTCACCATAAGAGAAAGTGTCTGGCAGAGGAACACCATGGCCAGCCAACTCCTGAAACGTCCAGAATTTATTAACACAGTTCAGGATGGCTTGAGGTCGGTTCATCAACCGACATCCCATCTTCTCTAGATGGCGCAAAACAGTGATGTCACTATCACTTTGCACCCAAGGGGTTGGTACTCTCACTACCACCACCTGGGGGTAGGCAGTAATTAGTTCTCCATTGATCCGTAGGCCTGAAATATATAGGAATGAAGCCAAACCCATTAAAAGGGAATATACAATAAAATAGAGGAAGAGAAATATACCAAGGCTTGAGTCACAAAACCAAAGGTACTATTTTGTTAACATTTCATTGGGACAGATAGACATTCCTCCTTAAACTATATTCCTTTGTAAGAAAAAAGAAAATTTAAGGGGGAAAATTCCTGCACTAGTTAAATAAATTATGGTACATGTCAATACAATGAAATACTGCAGAGCCTTTAAAAAGAATGTCATAAATCTCTATGTTCAGAGATGGAAAAAAGGTCCAGGTACATAACATTAAGTTAAAAAAAAAGAAAAGCAAATCTGAGAGTAAGTTTTGTTTGTGTTTACATATGCATAGAAAATATATGAAAGGATAAAAGATGAAAGCGGCCTTCTCTGAGTGTGAGTGGGTGGCAAGGCAGGAAGAGAAAGGTAGAATGGGGAATTTAAATACTTTGCTCCATACAATTCTCTGTCTTCTTTGTTTTTCTTTTAAGTAAGGATATATGCTTTTATAATGAAAAAAAAAATTTTAAAAGATAAGTTTAAATTTTATCCAATACTATTCTATTTAAAGAGGTCCCAAATAATAAATGAACAAGGTATTTATATGAGCTGCTCCTTAAAACTTATTTTCATTAAAAAAATAGTACATATACACTTGTTTAAAATATTCGAATACAAAAATATATAACATATTCATCTCCCATCTAACATTCCAGGTACTCTGTGTAAATAGTATGTATTTTCCCTACTGTTACCTAAGTATAGAAAGATATGTAGATAGTTTTCAGAAAAATGATATATTTTGTATGTATATTATGTCACTTTCTCTCACCACTTAAAATTCTACCAGAGACATATTTCTATGTCAGTGCACATATAGCTTTATTTCCTCCTTTTTTTAGTGGGCTGAATGGAATTCTATTTTATAGATATACCATACGATCAATCCTTACTCATGGACATTTGTTCATTCAATAAATATTAAGCAATTACTATGTGTCAGATTCTCTTCTAGAAGTCGGAAACAGATTGGTAAATAGGCAGATAAGGTCCTTGCTTTTTGAAGCTTTCATTCTAGCAGAAGAGACAGACATTCTATGTATTAATTTTTATAGTATTAGCTTTTAAACGTGTTAGTTCTGATACAGGAGAGATCAGTGAGGTAGAGGTAACAGCCGAAATAGAGCATTAGCCTTAAGGTATGCGTGTGTTTAAAGAAAAGAGAAAGGACATTTCAGTTGTAAAGAGTAACAGAAGTCACAGGGCAAAAAACAGCAATACGAACAATGTGTGCGTGAACTGCAATCTGTGTTGATGTAATATGAAAGATAAGGTTGGTCAGTTAAGGTGTCAAATATGCAAAGCCACAAATTTTTATTGAGATATAATTGACACATAACACTGTATTTGTTTTATATGTGTATATATTGTGAAATGATTATCGCAATAAATTTAGTTAACATCCATCACCTCACAGAACTACAATTTTTTTTCTTGTAATGAGAACTTTTAAGATTTAATCTCTTAGCAACTTTCAAGTATACAATACAGTATTGCTAAGTATAGTCACCATGCTGTACATCACATCCCCAGAACTTATTTATCTAATAACTGGAAGTTTGCACCTTTTGATCAACATCTCCTCATTTCCCTCATCCTACACCTCTCACCCTCTGGCAACCACCAAAGTGTTTTCTCTACCTATGAGTTAGATTTTTTCTTTTTTGTTCCACATGTGAGATTATACAGTATGTGTCTTTGACTTATTTCACTTAGTATAATGCCCTCAAGGTCCATGCACGTTGTCACAAATGGCAGGATTTCCTTCTTTTTTATGGCTGAATAATATTCTCTTGTGTATATATACCACATTTTCTTTATCTATTCATCGAGTGATGGATACTGGCATTAGTTCCAGGTCTTAGCTATTGTAAATAATGCTGCAATGAAGAGTGGGGTACAGATAATATGTTTGAGATAATGATTTCATTTCCTTCAGGTAAACACTGAGAAATGGAATTGCTGAATCCACATTCTGAGCTAACAAGTTTATATCTGCTCTCATTAAGGGAACTGAGGGTGTGTGCTAGATACTGCCTGTTGAAACTTCACACTATTCCCATCTTTTAATCCCTCCCTGTCCGGCAGAGGCTAGTAAGCATTTCCCACACTCCCTTGCCAGCAAGACTCCATTTTGAGAATGCAATGAAACAAATACAGAGAATTTTAAAGATGAAAGAGAAGCAGAAGTCATTATCCTCAAGGGGCAACTACAGGTAGGTGTGTGGTCATCAGATGTGAGGTTTTGCCAGTGGCTTCAGGCATTCTCCTCATGATAGTTCACTGTGCTGCTATAAGCAATCCTGACAGCAGCAGCAGATTTCTGCAATTCTGCACTTTCTCATTTCTTAGGCTTTAGTGACTTGCCTCAACAGGCAAATCTAAAGGGCACCCTTTTTTTTAAATCAGAAAAACCTAGTGACCAGGTTGGGGGTTAAAAGTTTTGAGACCACAATATGGAGAATGGGAAAGTTGAAAAGGGAAGCCAGTTTAGGGCAGAAGATGCTGAATTTGGATCTAAAGATGAAAGTTTTGGTGATAACAATAAGGACATCAAAGTAGAACTATTCTATAACAGTTGAAGTATGGATTGGAACTATACATATACGTATATATAATTCATATTGGTACTGTGGAGAGCGTGTGTGTGTGTGTGAGAGACAGAGAGAGTGTGTGTATGTGTGTGTGTGTATTTATTTATTTATTTATTTATTATTTATGGGAGTCAGCCCAAAACGTAGTAGCCGAAGAAATGAGGATATATAGGCTGAAAAAATAAAAGAAAAAAATGGAGACACCTAGGACAAAAATTTGATGGATCTCAATGAGACAAAAGGATACAACCACCTGAGGAAAAAAATCAGTCAAATAACTAGGATAATGTAGTTTTAAGCAGTATTATGAGAAAAAAAAGAAAAGTCAATATTATCAGGAGAGAATGATCAAATTCATTAAATGAAATAGAGGTAACAAGAAGACTGAGTTTTAAGAAAAGCTTGAGTGATCAGAAAAAGAGATACTGTCAACTGTCAAGAGAAAAATTAAACCATTATTACATTATCTTCTCATTTCTCCAAACTAAAGACAGCTTTTGCTCCTTTTTAAGAGATAGGATAAAGGAAGCAATGGAACTGTTCCACGCTCAGTCCATACCACTAGTAGGAACCACCTATCTGCTGCCACTGGAAATTGGGTGTATGGGAGTACTCGACCCAAAGCTCAGTCAGATCTGCATAGTACACTATGGGTATTACCGAGGATGCAAAGAAATTCAATGCCACCTGTAACAGAAACAAACACTCTGTTATTCTAGGCAAGGAGAAGGTGATCCAGGACAGGAAAGCAGAGCAGGTACAAATGAATGTGAGCCAAAAAAGGCAAAGTGACATCTCTTACAACTCTGCCTTATGTGCTATTGATCTCTTGGGCTGGGACGAAGATTCAATAGAGTCATGCATCACTTAATAATGGGGATACATTCTGAGAAATGCATCGTTAGGCAATTCTGTGATTATATGAACATCTCACAGAGTGTACTTACACAAACCTAGGCAGTAGGGCATACTACACACCTAGGCTATATGGTACTAATCTTACGGTACCACTGCTGTACATGCGGTCCGCTGTCGATCGAAACATTGCTATGCGGCACACGACTATATGAATACTTTGGATCTATGTTTTGGGTTAAGTGTACGATCAAGCAAATTAACAGCCAATGATGAGTTAAGCTTAGAATAGCAATGGGATGGGGGGACAATTTTTGTTCCTATATTTTTAGGATAAAAATGTATTATGTATTAAAAGGCTGCTGCTGTTGTCAAGGCAGAGTGAAAAGGTGCTAGTGTCTGATAATTCTCTTCGGGATATTAACAATCTCCTTGCCAGTAATTTAAGTGGGGACTCTCTCATGTAGGCTACTCTAAAGCTGTACTTTTTGAAAGGAGAGTTTGGCTGCACTGTTAGGAATAAGTATTAGTGTTTTTGTCCTCAGGAAACAAGAAACAGACAACTCATAGACTCCTGCTGACTGGCATTTATTTTTCTTCCATCCTCTAGTGTTCTAGAGGATTTTTTGAGACTTCTGGAATCTTTTTAAACCTTATAGAATTTTAAGAATTTTAACAGAAAGTTCCAAGTAAAGGTGCTGTTTATATATATTTAAAAACCTACACAATCTCTGTGCCAAAAATCAAGGAAGCACTCAAAGACTAAGGGAGTTGTGTTAACTGGAATACGGGGACAGTCTGGAGGGGCTCCCATTAGCCAAATTTCAGATGATTTGACCATTAAAAGAATAATTAACTGATAACACAGCAAAAAAGTTCATGAATCCATAATCATTATGGAGAAAGGTAAAAAAGCCTTATTTGGTATCACTGGAGGGACTATTATACAAATCTCTATTCTAAAAACTGGTAAGTAAAGAGGAAAAATTACATTTATCCCACTGTTTCAGGAGGAACCATAGTTTACCACCAGTAGGAAAAGCTCTCCTTTGGAGAAGAATGCCAATTAATATAGAAGAAATAGCAAAATTAGAAAATCACTACTTTGTAAATCCCAGTGAAATCAGTGAACCAGGCAAGGATCATTACAATGCTAAAAGCATTAAGGAAAGGTTGATGGAATATTTGTATGCTGCCAAAATATCAGACATTTGCTAAGCCAAAGATAAAAACAGATTTTTGTAACAGACAGACCCTGCAGACACTACCTTACTCAGTGATCAAACAGCACAGACTGTCATTTTGTGCTTCCCGGTTGAGTGCACTATGAAGTATCTACCATCACCTATGAAGTAATTTTTTTGCCCAAAATGCATAACCTCTACCTGATCATGCCAATTCACAAGAAGTTTCAGGAGGGCATCACAAGGAAACTATCAGACAAATCCAGAATGTGAGACATTAAACTG